CTAATGGGACCGTTTCCTACCAGTAAAAAAACAGAACACCTACCTCCTTGTTGTTGTGGACTATTATACCAAGTGGGTAGAAATGTTCCCACTGAGAGATGCAAAAACCCAGAAGATAGTGAGAGTTCTCAAAGAAGAGATTTTCACCAGATGGGGAGTCCCTAAGTACCTGGTCTCCGATAGGGGTCCCCAGTTTACATCTGGTATTTTGGCAGATCTGTGCAAGGCATGGGGATGTGTTCAAAAATGAACTTCCAGCTATCATCCACAATCAAACCTAACAGAAAGATTTAATCGAACAAGTTCTCTGCCAAGCTAGCACCCAAGTGGGAAGGTCCAGCTGAAATAAAAAGTAAAACAGGGCCTATAATAAATTACACTGTGTGCTGGGGCAACGCACCTAGAACAGATGTATTTAATGTGGTCAATATGAAGCATTATTACGGACGCTCTCCTCCGATGCCGCTGGGGGGGCACATAAGGGGGAATATTTATAATGTTGGCCATTAACTTAATTATGAATATAAGTCACCTGGTAATGTATAATTAATTCCCCACTGTTTCTTGCCCCTTTCAGTGTTGTTGATCCCGTGTTTTATCACGATAGTTTTGTCTCGACCCGTGAGGGAATCCCGGTGACGTCGATTTCATCAGCTGATCTTCTATACTTCTGATAAAGGAAGCCGGCTTACCAGGGGAAAAGAGGAGCATTTCCCGGGCTGAATGGCATCTACCTCAGTTCCCCTCTTGCTGTCTATGACTGTGACTTTTGTCTCTTACCGTGTGGAATTAACGATCTGAATTAGATTATATTTTTCACTTTGAGGACTCCGTCACAGGGCAGCGCTGCTCTCATCGTGCTCCTGGACTCTTACGCTTCACCGGTGAGGCTGATTCAATACACATACACACACACACACACTCTTTACTGGACTTGAACGGACGCTATCACACACACACACACACATATTTTGCATATTTTGTATATATGGGCAGAGGTATGCTATTGGAGAATACACTTTGCGTTGACATTCTTTCTTTATGTCTGTACAGTTTACACTTTTAGGAGGGTAACGATCTAACTTTATTTGTGTAGCCTGTCTACACAAGATGAAGAGGCTTTAATTGATCTGACTAGTAATCATGAACTGGAGCAAATTATTACACACTCTTCCATTGGACATTTCTGGCTCTCTGTTCAAAATGAATTTGCTGAACTCACACAAAGAGCACTGAGGAATCTTTTAACATTTGTTTCAACGTATTTGTGCAAATCAGGATTTTCTGCTATGACATTCATCAAGAACAAATATCGTTCACGTCTTCAAGTGGAGGATGACCTTCAACTGTTTCTGACGTCACTACAACCCCGAATTAGTCTTCTCTGCGCAGCGAGGGAACAAATGCATACCGCTCACTAAGGTAGGGATATAATTATGTAAGCATATTAATCAATAGTATAGATATTTAAATTTTGGCGTTGTTTAAAGTTCTTTCCCCACTCTCTGTTACAGATCCTCTGACTGTTTTGACTGGGATGGACAGTTCTTACAATTTTAAATTGCTAAAAAAATTATGTTCTTTTCATTTCGAACCATCATTGTTTTTGTTTCATTATTCTTAGTTTTAAAAACGTTATATCAAGTTAACCTACTTGTTATCACTCTTGTTATATGTACTGGATCACCTGGATCCAGTTCGTATCCAGTCCAGATGGGTGGATCAGCACCTAGAGATGACCTCGACAGCCCTGAATTTCAGCAGAGACCAGGACAACTAGATGAGCCCCAGAGACAGATCCCCAGTGAAGACCTTGTCTCCTAGACGGTAACCGGGACAAGACCACAGGAACCAATTGAGTCCTCTGCACAATGTGACTTTGCTGCAGCCTGGAATTGAACTGTTGGTTTCATCTGGCCAGAGGAGAACTGGCCCCTCGACTGAGCCTGGTTTCTCCCATTGTATGAATCTATTCTAAGAAGGTTGGACGCTGTATTAAAGGCAAACGATGGTAAACACATTAATAAAATACTGGCTATTTCTAATGTGTTCACATTATTTTCTCCAACCCCTGTGCACTTAAAGGGATAGTTCACCCAAAAATTAAAATTACCCAATGATTTGCTCATGATTTTTGATGTATATGAAGTTCTTCTTTCAGAGAAATATAATCAGAGTTATATAAAAAAAAATGTCCTGGCTCTTCCAAGCTTTATAATGGCAGTGAATGGTGTTCGAGATTTTGAAGCAAAAAAAAGTGTATCCATTAGGGGTGTAACGATTCACTCGTTTTCTCGATGCATCGATTACAAACCCTGACGATGCATATGCATTGATCTTGAAACATGGATTTTCGAATCGTGAATCGTCGATTTCGGACAGTAATTGATTTAAAACACTAAGAATCGAATGAATCACGATTTCTAAAGCGATTCAATGCTTTCAAAATATATACACATTAAATTACTTCAAGCACGAATTAATGGAGACCTTGAACAGTGTTCGTGCCTCGCATCTCTCCTTCACATGCTCCACTATTTAAAGCCTGTGACTGTCACAAGATTGGGCTCGCACTCCATTCGTCTCGCTGACACATTTTTTGAGCAGCTGATGTGTGATCTCTCCTTAGTACTCGTGGCCAGTAATGCTAAAGTGAAGTAGTTTTACTTTTCTGTATTTTTTCAATGTCTCTCGGTCATGCCGACGACATTACCTGAGCAGTCGAAGGCTGCGCATTTATTGCATGGACGGAGCAAAAATGTAAGCATCTAAATCATCCGCACAGTTCCATTGGATGATAAATGTGTTTTAACAATGTCGTTGAACCGAATGTACGAAGGAAACTGTTAATATAACCACAGCATTAACAACAACCTTGAAATAAGAGCGCGAGGCTTATCTGATAATCAGATGCATATAGCGTTTGTTGCTATAGCAAACAGACATCGGGTAAGTTGTGTCAAAAGGGAGGCCCACTGTCTTAGACTGTCTTAAACCCCTGCATTAGAACGAAGTGTAATGAAACCAAAAACAAACATATAAATTTTTTTAATTTTTTATGTTCATGACGATAAAATAAATGATAAATGAATGCCTTGTTCATTTTTTCATTTAAGTATCTGAAGGACCTGGTGGCCAATAAAAAGAAACAGAATGAAATTGTTTTTTTATAAACAATTAACAAAAAAAATAATAATTCCGGCCATAATATATTTTTTTTATGTTTCACTGACTAAACTAATAAATAAAAAAGCAGCCGTTTCTGTGCATGGATGTTCTTCCTTCATCTTTGGACTATACTGATGCTAAAAAGAGGATTATGGGAAACCCAGATCTCATTAATATTCATAAACTCATTACCATAGCTTTTGTTACATGTAAAAATGACATTTCTTCAGACACCGGTCATGCTGGAGGCATTCCCCATAGTGCCCTCTAGGGGACGCAGCTCGAGTTCCCATTTGAAAGGGAACTGCTGTTTCAATACTATTATATAGTCTGAATTCTAAATGAAATTTCTCACAAACACCATTTCTCTCCCAAAAGGAAAACAGTTGCTGAGAGCTGGAATGGGATTACTGAATCAGCCAATGAATTGCTGTGATTCTATACAGGCTTCAGACAATCATCACACCTGGAGGTCTTTACAAGACTTCTCTCTCTCTCTGTCAGAAAATATTTGCCAGTATCTGGCATTCAGAGCAGTGAGCACATTGTCATTTTAACTTTATTCTTGCAGAATGGAAGAGAAGGGAAAGGAAGAGCAGAAATCAGGAGACCAAGTGATGGTAACGACTTTATTGAATAATCTTAGTTGCTTCTTTCTCAATGATCATTCGACTTATCTGACCAGCACTGATTCAACCAGTGTTATACCAAGCAAATGCACTGGAAAGCTACTGGTTTACATAAACTCTAGTATAACATTAACATTAACTAGTTATTTAATATTTTAATATAAAATTAATATTAAGAAATAAGCAAACATAGATGGAGAGGGATGAAACAACAAAGTACAACATAGATGTGTGTTTGCTCTCTTGATGCCACACACACACACACACACACAAACAGTAATATTTTGTAATACAATAATAATTAAATTACACACAATTGATGTTTTTGGTTTTAACAGCTAAAAGTAATATAGAGAAATGATATTAAAAACTCAAAATATACATTTCCAACCATAACCTCCTTTTGATTAGTTTCAAATCTGTCCATCTGATTTCTTCTGTTTTTTGTACTTAGATCTCTTTCTCTGGTCATGTTTTTATGATGTAAAACTGGCAACACTTTACAATATGTGTGCACTTGCTGAACTAATGCACATTTCATGTATGACTCATGAAAAACTAAGCCATTCATTAACTATTGCTGCATCATCAACAAATAGTTTATCTGATTAATAGATTAAGTCATATATGAATTGCTGTTAATTAAATGTGTCATCATGGATCAACATCTACTAATAACAGTGTAAATGAATTACCAAAATGTCATGTATTTTAACTTCCAGCTGTCTGATTTAATAAATCGTTAACTAATAATTTGTGAAGATATCATTGTTATGACTTTTACTTAATGAGCATACGAACATAAAGGGTTGAGAGGAGTCTAGATGTCGGTAAGTAGCAGGTAAAAGTGTTGCTCATGAAGGGAAACAGACTGAAGACGCAGCAGATGCTCAGAAAGCACGTGAGAGAACAGGTAAGACGTCCTTTCTCAAACATTTCTTTTGTTTATTTGTTCTTGTTTATTTTCTTAATTACTGACTGTTCACTTGTCTTTAATGTTTGAACTTTATATTAGTTAGGCTAGTAGTATTTTATTTTTTTTTTTATCAAGCATTGTGATTTTTTTTTCTTTTTCTTTTTTCCTTTTATGTAATTAAATAAAAAAATACAATTCAAGGTTACACAGGGGGAAAAAAATAAGTAAAACTTGAGCCCTGCAGTTGTGCAGTGAATGTAATGTTTTATGTAATTAAATAAAAAAATACAATTCAAGGTTACACAGGGAAAAAAAAAATAAGTAAAACTTGAGCCCTGCAGTTGTGCAGTGAATGTAATGTCAAATAACGTGTTTGAGGGATGGGTAAATTGATTAAAATCATAACCATAGGAGCATATTACTTAATTATTAGTTAACAGAGTTAATAGTCAAGTGTCTCACCAAGTCATAATATAATGATATGCAAACTATTATCTAATGATTTTTTAAATCGGACAGCTGGAAATTGGAATACATGGCTTTGACCCACTGTGGTAAATAACACATTGATTTACACTATTAGTTAATGCTAGATGTTGATAGTGAATTAATCCTTGATGACATTTATTTAATAGCAATTCCTATATATCTTAATCTATTAATCAGTCACTTTATCAGATGCTGATGTAATTATTAATGAATGGCTTAGTTCTTCATAAATCAATCATTATCTAAAGATTATCTGTGCATTAGTTCAGCATTGATTAAGGCATATTAGTGCATCTGTATTGTCAGTTGTTAGCGTAAATTGCTTGTGTTCTCATTCTTATGCCTTCTGGGTTTTCTCGGTTCAATTCTCTGGACTGATGCTGATAAACTCTGAGTTGCTGTTCCCTGCGATCTTCTCAGTGTTCACTAGTTTGACCATCTCCTGCTCCTTAGTCAATGAAGCTGCTGCGCCCTTTTCTTCACTGCTGCTCTCTTGTGTAATAATCAGATTCTGTTTCTTGCCACACCATCTATAGAAAAACAAATGTGCACATTCACTAAAACACAATAACACTGTTAACTTAAATAATAAATCACTGGCAGCTATTTTATAAAACCAATAGTTTTAAAGTTAGAAAATGTAAACCAAACATATTCTTTATTCCTGTGTTTCGTTTTTTCAAATCTAGCTGTTGACACTACTGTCTATTTATTCTTTTTAAGCACACTTAGCCTGTTCAGTACCCACACTTGTGCTCTTGCCCACTTCAGGGTGCACGCATGTGACAGAGAGGAAGTATAAGCAAGACCGTCAACACTAACACACACTAACCCTTATTCAACTTCGATGCGCTACATTTAGGAACCCACAAGCCTTCCTTCTTGAGCAAAGTAGCATATTTTCACCTGCATGACAGCGATGGTATTATGGTTTCTAAAACCAGTTGGTATGACTCTATAGCAACTGTTTTAGCAACTTAGATTTTATGATAGCTGTGTCAATCAAACATTCCTTTATACACATTCAAGATTCCCACTTGCACACAGTGGCCAGAATTATTAGCGATACATAACACAAGTAGGCAAGTACAAATTGACAAGTGTGGGTATTGTGACAGACTGGTGGTATTTTTGTACTTCTGCTGTGGGCTCTAATATTTGCATTAAAACAACATACCTTTTTCTGTTTGCTGCAATAACACAGACAAGCAGAATGACAAAAACGGCCAAAATGACGAGTAAAATGATCAGCCAGTCTGTAAGAGGATTAAAACAAAGTACACGTTATTTCAAACCAAGTAATAAAGAAAAATCAATGCAGTTATTCAAGTCAGAGTGCACAAAGAATCACTTTGGCAGGAGGTTTGGGTGTGTGTACTTAGGGCCAGGCCTACTTATGCTTTTGCCTATTCATGTTTTCCCAGAATGTGAGGAAAGCTGCTGGTTTGTCTGCTGTCAGCAAATAATCATCAAATAGATATTTACCATTTTTAGACAACCAAAAGCTGTTAGGTACAAGTGTCTGATAAACTTGTGGTTTAACCTTAAAATAAGCTGCTTCTTAAAAAAAAGGCTATTTTAAGAGATTCATTTCATATATTCAATTCAACAGCACTCAGGGTCATCTTTGTTTTGTATTTGTATTTGTGCTGCAAATGTATTTATGGGATTAAATTCTACTTAACTTCCCCAATTATGAGACTATTCTTGACTAGGAACATTGTTCTGTTTTCTGTCAATGCCTTTGGTTTTGCAAGCAGATTGTGTTTCAGGGGTGGTCGAAATAATATTACAAGTCTAATTCAGAAAAAGCTGTACCTATGAGTAGTCTTATGACTGTACATGTACCACAACCCTTTATTTTACCCATCCATTGATGATGGTGATCAGACCCCCTAAAACAGGGCTTTTTAACTCCAGTCCCGAAGGGTCAGTGTCCTGCGGAGTTTAACACCTAACCCAGGGGTGTCCAAACTCGGTCCTGGAGGGCCGGTGTCCTGCGGAGTTTAACACCTAACCCAGGGGAGTCCAAACTCGGTCCTGGAGGGCCGGTGTCCTGCGGAGTTTAACACCTAACCCAGGGGAGTCCAAACTCGGTCCTGGAGGGCCGGTGTCCTGCGGAGTTTAACACCTAACCCAGGGGAGTCCAAACTCGGTCCTGGAGGGCCGGTGTCCTGCGGAGTTTAACACCTAACCCAGGGGAGTCCAAACTCGGTCCTGGAGGGCCGGTGTCCTGCGGAGTTTAACACCTAACCCAGGGGAGTCCAAACTCGGTCCTGGAGGGCCGGTGTCCTGCGGAGTTTAACACCTAACCCAGGGGAGTCCAAACTCGGTCCTGGAGGGCCGGTGTCCTGCGGAGTTTAACACCTAACCCAGGGGAGTCCAAACTCGGTCCTGGAGGGCCGGTGTCCTGCGGAGTTTAACACCTAACCCAGGGGAGTCCAAACTCGGTCCTGGAGGGCCGGTGTCCTGCGGAGTTTAACACCTAACCCAGGGGAGTCCAAACTCGGTCCTGGAGGGCCGGTGTCCTGCGGAGTTTAACACCTAACCCAGGGGAGTCCAAACTCGGTCCTGGAGGGCCGGTGTCCTGCGGAGTTTAACACCTAACCCAGGGGAGTCCAAACTCGGTCCTGGAGGGCCGGTGTCCTGCGGAGTTTAACACCTAACCCAGGGGAGTCCAAACTCGGTCCTGGAGGGCCGGTGTCCTGCGGAGTTTAACACCTAACCCAGGGGAGTCCAAACTCGGTCCTGGAGGGCCGGTGTCCTGCGGAGTTTAACACCTAACCCAGGGGAGTCCAAACTCGGTCCTGGAGGGCCGGTGTCCTGCGGAGTTTAACACCTAACCCAGGGGAGTCCAAACTCGGTCCTGGAGGGCCGGTGTCCTGCGGAGTTTAACACCTAACCCAGGGGAGTCCAAACTCGGTCCTGGAGGGCCGGTGTCCTGCGGAGTTTAACACCTAACCCAGGGGTGTCCACACTCGGTCCTGGAGGGCTGGTGTCCTGCGGAGTTTAGCTCCAACTTGCCTCAGCACACCTGCCTGGAAGTTTCTAGTATGCCTAGTGACAGCTTGATTACTTTGGTTCAGGTGTGTTTAATTGGGGTTGGAGCTAAACACTGCAGGACAGTGGCCCTCCAGGAGCAGGACTGGACACCCCTGCCTTAATCAAACATGCCTGAAACTAGGTGTTCAGAGTTGCTTGCAAATTACAGACAGATGGGTTCAACTGGGATTGGTAGTAAAGTTTCCAGGACACCGGCCCCCCAGGACTGGAGTTGTTATAGAGCCCTGACCTAAGACTGCCTTATAATTCACACCCTGGTGAACATTTGTCAGAATGTTGTCAATCAAGGCTTGTTAAAGCAAATAGTAGTCTGAAATTGAATACAATTGATTTGGGCATTACTTTTAATACATCATTTATATTAAACTGGCCATACCTATAGACCCGTTGTTTGGGGTGGCGTGTTCTGGAGTAACAACTAGACAGAAGCACAGAGACACAACAGTTCAAATAAGAGGTCGGAAGTCATTTTCAGTAATAATTACAAACAATCCAGATAGATCACATTGTATTACATTTAGTAAAGAATGAACTGATGATCAAATTCAGATATGGCTAAAATTCCTATAAAAACTTCACCTGCTTTATTTGCTGCTGTTTCTTTAGTGGTCACTGATTCAAACACTCCCAGCCCTGTGGTGTCTGGATTTGGATGTGAAGTTGTCAACTCTATATGCATATCACGGTTTGTCTGATCAGTGTGGTTCTGTTCCGCAGGGCTCTGTGTGGGACTGGTCTGCATCCAGAGAACTGGAGTAGAGGACTCAGATGTGACTTCAGATGTTGAATTTTCAGAATCTTCCTCTCCAGCATTTGGTCGGTGTGTTGTGTTAGTGGTCACTGATTCAAACACTCCCAGCCCTGTGGTGTCTGGATTTGGATGTGAAGTTGTCAACTCTATATGCGTATCACGGTTTGTCTGATCAGTGTGGTTCTGTTCCGCAGGGCTCTGTGTGGGACTGGTCTGCATCCAGAGAACTGGAGTAGAGGACTCAGATGTGACTTCAGATGTTGAATTTTCAGAATCTTCCTCTCCAGCATTTGGTCGGTGTGTTGTGACTTCTGTCAAATGTCAATTATGCACAACTTAGTGTATATCTGCTCATCAAACATTGATTGTATGAAAAAATGGTCCATCTCTGAAACAGCTTTTCAACCTGTTGTCTTATAGATATTTACATGAATTTATTAGACAACCAAAGTTATTATCAAAACTAAACATTCACAGCTTAGCATTTATTTGGTCATGTTTTTACAGAAATAAATCTGTCTGTGCAGGGATGGAAAGTGTGACAGTGTTTTTCTTGAAACCTGTCTTTAGAACAAGTAAAACTGATGCAGATAATACAGATAACACTGGTCTATAGAACTCGTCTGCTTCAGAGATAAAATATGATATTTATTGTGCATTTTGATGTGCTGAATTCAAATACGACAATTAAAACAAATGATTGGCTGCTGTTTCCAAGATATTTCAGTTTTTACATTTTACCTGTCACCTCTCCCATTTAAGTAACACTTTAAAAATCGGCAAAAGGATTATATAAGTAAAACTGGTCACACTTTATTTTAAGGTCCAATTATTGCTATTAACAAACAACTACAACGTTTGCCTCAATAAACTTTTGCTGCTTATAAATAGTTAGTAAGGTAGTTGTTAAGTTTAGGTTTTGGGTAGGATTAGAGATAGAATATTGTCATGCAGAATTATATAAGCAGGTATAAATGTATAAGAATTATATAAGTATATAAGTACTAATAAACAGCCAAGATGCTAATATGCATGCTAATAAGCAACTAGTTAATAGTGAGAACTGGTCCCTATACTAAAGTGTTACCATAAAATGTATAATGAAACAAAAGGCCAAAACTATTATGTATATACTTTAGTCCTATTCAGAGTCTACTCTGCACTTCTTGTATTCATTAAATGTAGCATCTCTTGTCACAGTTCAGCAATAGTCTGCAAGCACTGATGGGCTCCATTTGCCCTGACAGCGTTTCTCCATTGTTTCAATGGGAAATCATTCGCTGTGCTCGTCGCTGACTGCTCAGTGGGGGTGGGGAAATCTACATTAAATTTGCTGTGCCAATGCAGAAGACACTGCAAATTTCATCTAGATTTTTTTCCACTGAAGGCATAGATTTCCTTTTCCTGTTCAGCCACTGCAATTGTTTGCACGTGTCGCAGTGTGTGTGTGTGTGTGTGTCCTGATCTCCAATTTTGCAGCCAAAATAAATGTGGTAAGGCATTTCCTAACTGTGCTTTTGAGGTGCTAAAGTCACTTCACCACTAACATAGCAGAAGTAATCTGCACTGTTCACACAATGCATCTCTGCTTGCTTTGGCTAAACAGAAACGTGACCCTTTGCAAAATCAAACACTGACAGATAAGAGAGCACCATCCAGAGCTGATATAGGGCGATTAGTTCATGGGTCAGATATACTGACCCAATAGCATATCTTAAAAATTAGAGCCAATCAAAAAAATGTAAGCATCATTTTCATTCCCAGTGACTCAGAATTAGTACATTTTGATAACATTTATTTCAGAAACATCTTGGCTGTAGACCAGTGTAAAAAATAATGTGTGTTAAAAAAAAAAAAAAATTTAATATAAAAGTGAATTCTGTGGCACACCTTGAATACACTTTTTTTTCATACAAAATGCATACCATTTAAAATGTTATTCCTTAGTAAGTCGTAGGCCTACCTGTAAATGCTGAGTCGCCATCTGTTTTGTTTAAACTCTCAGGGTCAATTATAGCTGCGCAGTTCTTCTCTGCAGTATCTGATCGAAATGCAATGTTTTGTTAAAAAAAAGATGATCGATCATGTGTTGACTAAAACTTACAGCATGTTGCACAAATCAAACCTTTAGCATCAAAACAGAAGGCGTCATATTTTTTTCTGTCTGGAGTTTTCCTGATGATGCCGGTTTGGTTGCCAGCACAGATTCTATTTGGCGTCTGACGGACTATCACCACCTCTGTGCTGTTTATCCATCCATACCTGCAGACAAAACGTATGTTTATATTTCGGTGGAGCTCATGTTAATAATGATCCTGTATGTTTAATTGTCATTTGGTTATGTTCAGCTGAATGTAAGAACCTGCATGTCTGTAGTCCTTTATTGTAGGCTTTTTCCACCTGCTCCAGACTGGCTAATGAAGAGGATAAATGCTCACACAATGTCTCGGCCTTCTCAAACGTCAGACTATAGCGTTCTCTCCCCTCCACATGAAACACTCCAGCATAGCTGCAGCTCCGTGAGCGCACTACAACAGGAGAAACAGCACATTAATGATAGTAATTAATGGATTTAATTCATATAGTGCCACTCTAGAAGCAAGATTTTCTGAAATGCATAGCAGAAGAAGGGAGACAAAGGAAACAGTAATAGAGACTACAGATTTAGTGAAGATTTTAGCTTCAATCTTAAAGAGGGAAAGAAGCTGACAACACATAAAGATCAAGAGCTTTGGGACAATTAATAACACCTCATTTATCTGGCAAACTTTAGATGTTACGCTGCTGATGGAGACATGGATCTAATCGCAGGCTGATTTCTTTAAACAAAACAACATGAGGACATTTCAGAGAACAAGTAGAACACAGGTAGATGAAGGTAATACCAACACACAACTATTTAACAAATGTTAAAACATGAATTGACAAACAAAAAACTGAAACGGAGGGTGAACGCATAGATATGCATACATAGATGCCTCATTAGTGACTGTTTCTATGGACGAAACAATTAAAGCCATTCTTTAATTTTATGTTTAATTTTCAAAGCTTAATAATATAATATTGGCTTTATATTATCTCTTAAGGATAGTAGGGTACCTTGACAGACAAATGTATCGTAATGGGGGAGCGAGAGAAGGCAGGCAGAGGCAAAAATCGAACTGCAGGAGTTTTAATAAACAAAAAAACAGGAACACATGGAGCATAAGAACAGAAACATGAGCACATGGCAACCTGACTACAAAATGGCACATGGGACAGGAAGTAATACAAAAGTCCTAAGAAGACAAAAGGAACATATAACATTAAATCCAAAATTTGCAATCAGACGCACGTACCTCAACACAAAAATCCCAAACAAGGTGATAATCAACATTTTTTCAAGATGCAATGCATGCTTTGTTCATTGTGAAACTGTTCGTTCAGGCGACTTAAGATTTATTCGTTTATTAATTTTTGTTATTAACATGCTTAGAGCATTCTTGTTTAGATTACACAAAATAATAAAATGACTCCACTTTTTTTTTAGTTGCACCACTTTCGGTAGGTCCTAATCACGGCATACCAAGAACAGCACACAAGACGTTTCATCGCTCTACCCAGTCATCTAGCCATCACTATTTGGCCCAACCCCGAACTATTTTTTTTCCTGCTTCCAAGGGCTGCCTGTTGACTTGCTGCCTATATCCCACCGCTTGACAGATTCCATTCTAGCGATATGATCAATGCTATTCGCTTTACCTGTCAGTGGTTTTAATGTTGTGGCTGATCAGTGTAAATAATGTTGTAAACAGGAATTCAAAACCGTTTAAGGAGTGAAAACAAACATAATCTCTCTCTTGTTATAAACACTATCAGCTTCCAAGACAGCGGCACCATATTCCAAGACAGCATTTATACTTTTTGCATTTTCTCCCCAATAGAAGCCCACTGTAAGGAAGCTTACCATTGCTTAATACAGCGGTTTTCAACTCCAGTTCTCGCGCCCCCCTGCATATTTTATATGTTTTTCTTATCACTTCAGACATTTGTTCTATTTGACCATAAGTACCCTGCGAAGTGGACATCACCGGATATTCCGCCATGATTCCGGTTCGAAGCGAGCGTGTATATTCCATTCAAAGGCCATTAAAGTGTGCGAGACGAGAATTTACATTGTCTTTATTTACAAAGGTATATTATGTCACACTTCTCTAGTAAGTTTCGTCTGTGTGTGAAGACGCTGCAGGCAGCAGCGCAAATCCATGAATAAATGTTCCGAAATGAAGTAAACTTCAATGGATTTCCCCTGCTCAGTGAGTAGGGAGCAGTGAACACTGTGTAGGGATCGTGTCAATCGGAACACAGTTCATGCACGGAGCTCACTTCTAACGAGCTGGTTATCTGAATCAGGTGCGTAAGATAAGAGAACGGATTTCCCCTGCTCAGTGAGTAGGGAGCAGTGAACACTGTGTAGGGATCATGTCAATCGGAACACAGTTCATGCACGGAGCTCACTTCTAACGAGCTGGTTATCTGAATCAGGTGCGTAAGATAAGAGAAACATGCAAAATATGCAGAGCGGGGGAGCGCGAGGACTGGAGTTGAAAACCACTGGCTTAATATACTAAAAGTGGCTTTGGAAGACCATTTTACTCATGCATTTTATTAATATTAAACTGAACTAAAAACTTTCCAAGAGTTTACAGGGTTTAAAATGATCTGATCGCAAACAGAGGAGCAGAAATGTAACAACGTTCACAAACCTACTTCTTTTTACTTTTTAAAGTATTATTTCCAGTATAATGTGTTGATTGAAATTAATAATCATGAAATTATTCTTTTTATAAATTTTTTAATCACTCTTCGTGCCTCACCTGAGATGCTCTAGCGCCCCCTGGTTACAACTGTTTACAGACATGGCTTCTGGAGGGAGTTGATGCTATGGAAATGCCATCAGCGTGACCAGTGTCTGAGCATGTGTAGCAAACACGCCAGTTCATTGGCTGATGGCAGTCCATGACGTCACAAGTGGAGCCCCCTTTTAAGTTTAAAAGTGTGCCTGCACAACACGTCATCAAAATTTGTCTGAAGGACAAGACCCAATGCATGGCAATGAGACGCCGCTTTTCATTCCCCTTTTTTAGGGATCCATGTTTGCAGTCATAACCCTAGAGGTTCCTATTCAAAGCGGAACTGCGTTGACACTATGGGGAACCAATGCCCACTCACCACTCACTTGCCTCACTAGAATGTAGATATGCAGACCATAGTGGGCATAGAATATCCTGACTCTACAGATCAACCAGCTAGAGTCAAGACGCGTGAACCTCCAGGGAGCCATATGCTTCATAGACTGCTTAGAAGAAACAGTCCCTAAGCCAGTATCGTTCCAGTAGTAAAGGGAAGATACCCACGCTTCTACACTCTATAGCCAGGGAAGTCCTGGCCGTTGTTGCAGGGCACACGTAAGCCTTATAAGGCCCCAAGAGCAGAGCTCTAAAGGAAACTGCTCAGCCCTTAGGGCGTAGTTGGAGAGGGAGGTAAACTAAACAAAGGGACTCTCGTGAGTTGCCCATCATAATTTCACTCACTCTGCTCCTTGTAATACCAAGCGAGGTGTGACAAGTAGAGTGGTTTAATTCTAAATCTAAAACAAAATCCTACTCAGTCCCTGTAAAACCAGAGCCCAAACCTCCTAGACAGGGAGGCAGACAGGAGAAAGGCAGGCTGCCCTTTGCCAATAACTCTCATCCACCATATTTTAACTCCAATGAGGGTACAAGGGAACTTACAGGGGGACAGTTCAATTCTGACTTAAATAAAGGCACTTTTCCAGACCTCCAACGCTAACTATAGTATGCGATAGATGAGGAGGGACGCCCTGCAGGCCGACTGTCTCTATTTGCCAGGTTCTTGAACATGGGTCATACTATAGAGGCCTATCCAAGGGAGCATACATCCCTTCTTCAAAACCCAACAGTAGTTGGGGAGGGAGGTAAACGAAGTAGAGGGAATCCACATTGGCCTAAATAACTCTGTTCACCCTGCATCAACCCTAATGGTGTATCTACCAAGCAACCATCCACAGGGGAGTGTACAATTTTACTTTATAAGGTATTTAAACTATTCTGTAGAAGGCAGAAGGCATTTTTTGTGCGAATTCGGCAATGGTTGTTTTCAATCAGCACCCCCCACCCCGCCTTCTACTTCAACCCTCAGTATTTTTTTTTTTTTTACTGCCTCAAGAGATAGTACCAGTCAGTACTGGGATGGCCTGGGATCCAAGTCTACCATTACGAAAATTAACCATGATTTTATTGTAGAATAAGTGTAGTAACCATGTTTTTTTGACATATTGATTATCATTTGTATAACCACAGTTTTACTACAAATACCATGGTTAAACTATGGTTAGTGTAGCAAAACCATGGTTAATTTGCGGTTACCATGGTTTAACTATAGTAACCATGGTTTTTTGGTTTTATTTGTAGTAAAACCATGGTTCATTTTCGTAAGGGCAATCCAAGTTTAATAATAGAAATACTGATGTATTCAAAATTTTACTTTATGTTATTTTGATATAATCATCATTTGTATTCATTTTCCATTAATTATGCTATTTGATGAGAATGAAGTTCAACCACTGTCTACCTCTCTCTCTTCCAGGATTCATGACTCACTGAAACACGATTCTCTGCAGATCCATCAGTCAATATTGTTTGATCATAATTCCCTGTTTCACAATTATACTATGTTTCATCATAGTGTATAGTTTATGTGTTCTTCATGCGTCTTGGGGTATTATTTATAAGAATAAAGTATGTTTACATGAGAAATAATAAACCGGTGTAGTTAAAACACCCCACATATTTGTTATTATATTATATACAAAATCCACAATAGAACATAAATACAAACACTCAAAGTGAGTTCTGAGCAGAAATATTGTATTAATCTCAAATGTGTGCAGTTTTCACTCTGAAATAGATGTTCTGAAAAGCCCTGCATGGATTGAGGCGCCTGAACCAGGGTCACATGTCCTAGACGTGTATGTCACACAAGTGGAAGCGCTGACAGCGAAAGTCTATTTCTGATTTTATTGCTGTTTTCAGTGTCATGTTGCAGCTCTTTACTTGGCAATGTTTTCACGTCCCCTGTGTTTTGCTCATCTGAAAACAAACTCTGTTTGTGTGGCTGCAAACGGCCTCAAACACCTTGAAATGCAACACAGCAGGTAAAGAGAATCAGTACTGTACATGAGTGTGTGTCTGCTGCATGGCCTGGTCAGTCGAGTCGTGTCTGAAGCGACAGCTACATGCTCACACAGCGAGATACCATGTAAGATTGTGTCAATATTGTGCTTATTTATATATTTTCTTAGTAACTTCTCACCTGTCCGATGTCTGATTCACCTAGATTGACTTTTTT